GACAAGTTACGTATTTCAAAAAAAAGGCTAAAAGATCTGCGACAAGTTACGTATTTCAAATTCACCTAAAATAGCTCCAACTTTGACTGTCAGCAATCAGKAGTTAGCTCTGAGATAAGATGCTATCTGGATCCATACTGATGTATTTTGCTGGAAATAATCACTTCTGTCATCATCATCATTATCATCTGACTCTTTTACTCCGGCAATAAAGGTAATATTATCAGATTCTGGAAGACTAGGGATATGACAGCATCATCACTACTTTCATCATCATCATCAAAAATAAGAGCATCGGTGCCATCCAAGTGTTTGTTATGCTTGTAGCTTAGGCACGTTGATTTATTAAGCTTCGTTCATCACTRATTCAAGTCCGATCCAATCTCTGTTGGCCAGCTATATTCTCACTCAAGTTCTCAATGTCACTAGTAAAACTGAACTGATTTTGCATCAAAAGTATATATGAGCATCCATCCTCTTCCAATGTGATCACTATCACTTGTATGAGTATGCAATCATTATAGCTCTTAAAAAGCGATCCTGAAAGGTTTAATTTCTGGATGTATGCAGCTGAAAACTCACCAATAATTATTTTAGAATCCAGACAGGTTCCTGTATCAATGCAGCTGAATACTCACCAATGAAGATTTGTGTAGGATGCATTTAATTGTTTAGCTATACTCGACTGATCATGAAATGGCCCCCTTTTATACRCACCGTGCTTTGCAGAATTAATTGGGCTGATAATGGTGCCAAACCGAAAAATTTTTTGCCTACATGTACTTAACAAAAGTCAGTTTATCAAAAGGATAAATTTTTCGTGSATTTATATTAATTTTCATGTAAATTGTAAATGCATGTTTCAATTATCAAAACTTGCTAAATTCAAAACAGGAATAATCTGCTTGTTCAAAATTCCAAACAATCATGTATCACAATTTGTAGCATATTTTCAATTAATATCAATGTAGATCTCTTCTTTAACAGTTTCACCATTCATGGAAACAATAGAATAGGAACCACTTGAAAGAAACTGACAGAAAGGGAAAGTTTTGACTCAATACTTACAGTCCATATAGTGATTCTTCATTGGGACAGCAAATTTGATTGACAGTCGATGTCTATAAGAATATATTACACTATTGATGCTCATCGAAGACGTGTCTTAATTTACAATGATTTACTTATATTTTGCTACTTATAGATCAAAAAGCTATATCAATTTACACCAACTTTTTACAACAGTAAACTGTTCTATAACTATTCATATTTTTCTTGTTTTTGTATATCAAAAAATTTCCTTTTTGAAAAGCAATATCGAAGCATCGAATTACTAATATCTAAACTTAACTACAATAGCTTGACTTGTTGAAGCAGGATCCAGCAGTGATGTGATGACCAGGTGAAAATAAAATCTTCAGTAGGTATATATACCACTATTGCTTACCAAAAAATACTGTTGATTAAAACTTTAGAAAGACTCCAAAAGCACACCAGCAGAGACTTAAAAGTTTTTTATTTAATTTTTGGATATTTTCACTGAGAAAAAATTATAAATATTACAGCATTTATTATTCATTCCTGTCAACATCCAATGCATGTACTCCAAGTTCCATTGTCCACTCCATTCCATTCCATGTGCCAAGTACTGTTCACAAAGTCACCCAGAGATAAAGCCATATACAAGAAGTGGTTGAATTCCAAAAAAAGTAGAATTTCCAGTAGTTGAAATCCAAAACAGTAGAAAACCCAAAATACTTAAAAGACAAAAAATTACAAAAAAAAACTTTATCCGTAAAAATCGTTCACAAAAATTACTCTGACGGCTTTTTAAAAGTTTTAGATTTTGACCAGATTTAAAAAATTGAAAATCCTGAAATACAAACTGCATAATAACAAATAATGACAACTTTCATAACTCATAACATGAATATCAATCATCAATAACTGTACATGAATAAAACATAAAATGGGGACCTACTCCTAACGAGGATTTGTTCTCTGTATTGTCCACAAATGGGGAGGTCCAGTGTATAGCTTAAGGGCTAGTCCCACCATACAAAGGACCCCAGTCATAGTCATAAGACCCCCGCTTGTCAGACACTAGGTTAAACATGTACTTACTTGGGCCAATGCAAGAGTACTCACATACAGGCCACCCCCTGGTGCACT